TAATTTTTCCCCTTGTGTTGTCACCTTTTTTTTTTTTCCCCCCCCCCCCCCCCTTTTTTTTTTTGCCTTACAGCTTCTGACATGAAGAAAGATATAGAGTCTTTAATAGCCCAGGAAAAAGCAGAGATCGTTGCCAAGTATGAGAAGGTACCAACCCCGTGTTTCTCCCCGACATGCTCACTAAGGCTGCAGCTATTTAATTGATTAGGAATGCTTCGAATAAGAACTTTCGCCTCCCTTCAGGCATCGCCTCAGTAACCCTCATGCCATCAGGCTTCGTGCTGGCGCTCTCCCTACCTGCTTCTGCCTTCACATCCCCTCTCACCACATCCCCAGAGTTTCTCGCAGATCCCGTGTGGGCTCAGCACAGATACTGAAAGGTCCTGGGCTTCTAGTGCTTCAGTGCTCCCGTAACACCAGGAAACAGCTCTGGTTTCTCTGATGTACAGCCCTTCCCAGCCCGTAGCAGAGGCACATCAGGGACACTGGATAGGCTGAACTTCTGCATTTTCTCTTGCCTGTGTTGTATTTGTCTCTTTAGAGCAGGTTTTGGTCTCCTGGCTCTATGCCTTCTAGCGTGCAGGGAGGGAGGGATGCCGGCACTGGGGGCAGGATGCCGGCACTGGGGCATTCCCAATACTGGGGCCGGCTCACGGGTGTCCTTTCTGCTTTCAGGGCAGGCAGGAAGGAGCTCAGATTGACCCGTGGGAAGATGCCAATTTCACACTGTATAAAGTTACAGACCGGTTTGGATTCCTGCAGTAAGTCCTCCTGCCCTCTCCTGTGCTCTCTGACCCACGTGTCTGTGTGGACCATCTATCTGCACCAGGCGCGGCAGACCCAGCGTCTTTCCTATAAGCTGCTCTGTGGCTTGGCTCGATCAATCCCAAATGCAAGAGGAAAAACTAGATGTGCCTCCTCCCTCAACCACACGTGTTCAAACACTCTGATGCTTTGAATCTGCTGCAAGGCAAGGCTCAGAAATGGTTTCCCATCACAAGCCTGGTGTCAGAAGGTGCAGGCTGGTGCTGCTGTGCCTCTGTGGAGGCCCATGGTGTGTTGCAGGGGGAGAGGCTCTTGTGTTTGCACCTGATGATTCAGGGTGGTGTAGGAAGAGATGAGACAAGATATCTGATCATTCTCAGTTCCCTTAGAAAATCACCATCTTAAGTGAGGTGCAGATGAATTAGATGCACACCCCATGCCTGGGGAGAACGCTTAGAAGAACTATTTTTATTCCAAATCAGAACAAAAAATTATAATAGTAGGTGGCATTTGTGCAGGAGAGGGGTTCAAAGCAACTGCTGTCCAGATTCCCCCTCGCCCACTTTAATTGCTGATCATGTGTGTATTGAAGAGGAGCTTTATGCCCAGGATTTCCAGCGATATCCAGTGCTTGATTACCCCCTGGCAGCTCCTGTAGGGTGTTGGGGTTTTGGCTGGTGCTTCCTCTGCCTCTTCCTCATCTGGGACAGCTATGGGAAAGGCACGAAGCTCCCAAGCCATATCTCTTCAGCTGCCCGAGATGGTCCCTCAACTGCAGCACCCTGTGCTCCTCCACACCCATTCTTGCCCATAGAGTAACCAGTGACCCCTTGCTTTTCCAGTGAGCAGGAGCTGCCGACCCGCACGGCCTTGGAGGAGAAGGTGAGAGCTGCCAGCTGTGTCGTCATGGGTATTGGATCCTTATCACACCGGCTGGGGAGGGGATGGTTTTTGAGGAAAGGAGTGTGCAAGCAAGAGTGAAGCAGGCAGCCAGTGCCCTCTGGTCGCTGCTGCTGGTGCAGAGGTGGGAACTCTGCACGATGCCCAGCTGTTGGAGCTTTTATTTTGCTGGGTCAGGCATCTCCCCTTCTCCATGCTGCACTGAAATCGCACCTTATAAAGCAATTTTGGGCTTTTTCCTCTGCTTTGGCACAGCACTTAGCGGCTGCGGCTTGAAAAGGAGATTGATTGCACGTGTGGGGGAAAGTGGTGGAGGCTGTAGGTAACTCTCATCTCCATCCTCATCTCCCTGAGCTGGGAGCATGTCCTCTGTTAGTATCCTGCTAACTGGGACTAAATAGCATCTCGTTTCTGCTAATCTGATATGATGATACAATTTGAGGCTAGCTGAACCTGCAAAGATTTTTGTTGTCAAGGAATATTCCTCTTGGAAATGCTTTCTCTATGTTAAGCCTGGGTGTCTCATCGTTTTTATCAATGCTGCTTTAATTACCACAGGTTGAAATTACCAGTTCCTGCAAGCACCTGTGGATTATTCCCATCCCCAATGCGAGGTCTTTGCATAGAAGTTTAAACCTAAAGAGAATGAAGTTTTGTGTTTTCAGGAGGTATCTTCTGGGGCTTTTTTCCTTAAATTTGTCTTGTCTTCTTCCCCCTTGCACCAGCAAAAACAGCAGGAAATCGAACGCGTGGACAAGTGGCTAAAGATGCTGAAGAAATGGGGCAAATACAGAAACAGTGACAAGGTAAGGAGGAAAAGAAAGAGCACGTGTCTGGAGGGATGGGAACGGTGCATCCTTCCAATGAGCCAGGCTTTTGAAAAGTTAGCAGAGAAACCAGAGGTCACTGGAAAATATTACCTAACTCTGCCTGTTAGTCTTTAATATCTTGAATCTTTCCTTGAAGTTACTGGGTTACTAGTTGAGGGAAAAGTCCTGTTCTGACTAGCATAGTTTTAAAAATGGTTTCATAAATGCTGCTGGCGTGTTTGCACTTCTGCTTCTCTGTGCAAGCAGGAGCACAGCAGAGATGTTCGTGTGCCCAGGTGGGTCTCTGCCCTGAGAGCAGGGGATGTTGCACGCCACTGGTGGCTTCTGTGTCTGCCTAGGAATGGCATGCGAGATGTGACTGATACGGTCCAGCTGATGTTCCTCATAATTCTCCCTGGAGGGACATCGCCTAGATTTTGTATTTTGCTCCTAGCTGTGCCTGTGAGAAGCCCCTTAGGTGCTTAGTTGTTAGATTGTGTGCACCCGTCTGTGGAAATTAAGGATGGAGACACCAACCTTGTGTCTTGGCTTTGGTGTTCAAAATAAACTCTGGACCAAACACCACTGTAAAACTGAGTTATTTTTAATAAATAGTATTTGTAATATGTTCCTATTACAAACCTCTTTAAACAAAAAACACTTGAACCTAATGACAGGACCCTTGCTGGGTAAGGAGAGGAGCATCACGCCTGACCTGCTCTGCTTACAGCACTCTGTGTGGGAGAGCACTGAAGCCCAGCATCACCTTGTCGCCATGGCCTCTGCAGTCTTCTTGTTTGGCAGGAGGAGTGGGTTGTTTGGCTGTATTGCTTCTAGCTCCTGCTGAGAGTCCTTGGGAGAAACTTGAACTCAGTTAAAAGGTTGTGCAGAGGATGTCTGCATAGCTGCAGAGGGGGCATTGAGCAGAGCATCCCCCTTGCGCGGCCATCCAGAGTGATGTCAGGTTCACCCAGCCAAAGACCAGCTGTAGTCTCATCCTTTTTTTAAAAAAAAAAAAAACCAACACACACACACACAAAAAAACCCCCACCAAAACAAAACAAAAACAAACAAACAAAAAACCAAACAAACAAAAAAAAGAAAATCTTCTCTTCATTACAGCAGAGATAGGGTGGAGATGGGCTTGAGGTTTTATAATCCTTCTGTTCACTTCAGGATGGTTCTAATTATTTTGTTCATCGGTGCTGCTCCATGGGCAAAAACGGAGGCTCTCCCATGGCTTTGGTTTTTCTAATTAGAAATTAGCACTAATTGGTTAGTGGCCTTGTGGGTAAACCACCAAATTCCAGTAGAGTGCAGGGAATTCCTTCAGGTCCTGGAGGATGTTTGGGATGGGTAATGGTGAGTGTTTTTAGCATGCCTTGGCTTCCCTGGGTCAGCCAATGGGGACAGACAGGATCTGGGGTGAGGGATGTGTGGAGCAGTAGTGATCCCTGTCTGTTTTTTTGGATTTACCCTGATAATTAGTGGGCGTGTTAAGCATGCTGCAGCCGACGTTGCTCTGGTCTGCTGGATGGCGAGGGGCTAGACTGGCAAGTGGGTTTTGAGGGTCTTTGACTCAGAAAATCACAGAGCTCTTATAATGGAATAAATGATGTTATTTATAACAGCCTGTAAATGGTTGATGACTCTTGTTCACAGACGTGGCATTGTCCCTGTGCTGGGGGACTGGAAATGGCAGCCCCCCCTCCCAGCAAACGGAGAAGCAATGGTTGGCCCCAAGCAGGGAAGGAGCACTCTGGTGACCCGGTGGAGTAGAAAGGAGCTTTGGTTTCAGTCCCGTCCAGCCTAACGCCCTGCTGCCTTGCGCCAATGCAAGTGCAGGCAGGAAGGTCTGTGCATTGGAGCAGCCACGCAGCGCTAAGTGCAAAGACCCTAAGAGGCACAAAAAAAGTGCTTTAAAAAAAAAAACAACTAGGTTGTATCCTTCACCTGGATGTGCAACCCCATGTTCTTGTGTCGGGAGCATGGACTCTGCTTGGAGATTTTCTGCTGCCGTGGCTGGATACAGCTCAGATGTGGCATTTCAAGGACCTTATGCTGAGATCACAGTCATGCCCTTCAGATGGTTATGTTTTTTTTCTAGCTGAAGTAAATGTGACCAGCCTTTGATCTGATTTTTCTGAAGCGGAGCAAGTTGGTTTTGTTCCCTCTCTGAGCACTCAGGCTGTCACATCTGCATTGCACATTTCCTTCAGGTTTGTTTTCAGCACTTCGCTGGTGTGATGGAAGCCCGAGTGTCACAAGACAGCAGCTCTGTGTTATTTTAATAAAGACTAGGATGTCATCTTTGAAAAAAACCTCTTACTGAAGACAAGAGTGTTCCCTTTGATGTTCATTTTGATAGACTGTGCTTTATTAGAGGGGAAAATAATCTTGTTGCAGGAATCCCAGGCAGTTTCACAGGGAAGCTGCCCTGACTTTGGCTCTGCTCGAGTGATGTAGAAACCCATCTTATTTTCCAGGCTGGGACTTTCTGGACTTCAGGGCCAACCTTTTGAGTCCCAGTTCATGTGCTGGAGGTGGCAGACAGCTGACTGTATCGAGTGCTTGAAGAGGGACTCTTGGCTTATCAAGCAGGCTATCGTGTTTTGCAGCATCTTAGTACCTGATTGGGGCTTAGGTGGTTGTCTCGGCTTCTGTGTTGTGAAATGTCAGCAGGATCAGGAAGGTTGTGTACCCGTCCAGGGCACTGACCCAAAAGCAGCCACCTGTCAGCAGGTGAGAAAGCAGCTTTCTCAGACCCGCAGCATGAGCCATTGCCAGAGAGCAGCAGGTTTTGCTTTCTGTTCCACCACCTGCTGCCAGTGTGCATCCCTGTGTGCTGCTGGTTGCAGTCTGGGTGTTGTGGCTGTCACAGATGATAGGAAATGAGTCTGGAAAAAACCCTCAAGAGGAGGGCCTCTTACAGTCCCTGGCCCAGGATGGCCTGGCTATGCCTAAAATCATTCTTGGCATAACGTGTTTCAGGATGAGCAACAAATAGGATTATCTTAATTAAAAGTGGTGCCCTGGGGTTCCTTGTGCTCATCACCACATCAGATCTGTCTCTATCTCTGTTCTAGACATGTTTCATAGCAATCTGATTTAATTTCAGTAGCAACATAAACAAAAAGTGACACCAGCGCAATTCCTCACATGGATGGGGTTAGACTGATGCAATGGTGCCTTTTCCTGGCTGTACTTCCACAAGGGAAAGGGTACAAAAATAAAGGAGTCCATGCAAAGACCACGCTCTGCAGAGTTAAGGTACGTCAAATCTGCAAAGAAGTGCTAAATTGTGTAATTCAGGGTTCAGCACAGGGATGCTCAGGTGGTCTGTCTCCTCTTCACTGCTGTTTTAAACATGAGTTTAAATCCCAGCCTGACTCTGCTTGGAAAGGTTAGGAAATGGTTGGTGCCATGTAAGAATATACACAGTTAAGGCAGCACAGTTTTGCAGAGAAAAAAAAGGCTGTGCTGTGTGTGTTCCAACAGCAGGATAATTTATTCATCGTAGCCCTGAAATAAGTGGATTTCAGCCAGAAGTGTCAGTCCTAGGAAGAGGATATGACCTTTCCGTTATTTGCAAGCTGCTTCTTGCTGCTGGCCGTGTGGGATGGGACCTTTAGAGAGGGATGTCTTGGGCCAGAGATGTCTGGTTTTTAGGCAAAGCCTGTCTTTGTGCACGGGGGTAGCCTTGTCTCTGCTAAGGTCACGGGAGTGCAGGGCACTTAATCCAGTGCATGCCAGCAAAGCGGTTTAGGATGAATCGGGGCTCTGTATGGACTGACATGGACCCCCAGAAGCAAATAATCTGCTAAAGCTGGGGAGAGCCAGCAGACGTTTGTCATGGCAGGGTTGGCTGAAGTCAGGCCTCCTGCCTGCAAATGCCATGGGAAAGAAAGGGAGTTGTGCCTGGGAGCTGCAGGTGACTTCTGCTGCTGGTTTTTGCCATTTTGGAAAGGCAGGTAGCATTTTCCTCTCCCCAAAGGTAGCCCTGGTAATAAATGTAAATGCCCACCCACGACATCAGCTTTAGGATTTAAATTTGCCCCTGCTTTGCTGCCGAAGCCTCGACAGACCTGCTGGCACCCTGTCCGGCATAGCCAAGGCTCCAGGGACAACAGCTGAGTTGGGAGCAACCATTTCTTCCATACAGAAAGAAAACCATGTGCAGCATAATCCAGGCTGCCAAGTGTCTTGCACAGCCACATCATCAATCAGCCAGCTTTGTGGTGCAAAAAAGAAGTCCTCTTCTACAGGGTGGTGGTGGTCATGGCGGGGGGGGGGGGGGGTTTACCCCCCCCCCC